TTTCAGATAATAGAACTTGAAATGCTTCCAGGAGTAAAATCCAGAAAATGGCAATAGCAGGAAGTAGTTTGCCGCGTAGTAACAGTACTACTGTTGTAATTCTTCATTTGCGTTTTCAGGCTGAGGTTAAGTCTGGGGCTGTCAATGATGATGATGGTGATGATGAGGGTGAAGAAGAGGAAGACGTCGACGGCAACGACGACGAAAGAAAATGCTGAAGAAAAAGCTTAGAGCATTATTGTTTAGGCAGTAAAAAGAGAGAGTGCAAAGACGTCACTGATGATCCAAGATGAGAAGCAGCAACTCACAAACTTCAAAGTACGTGAATGCACTCGGGAGCAAACCAGCTGTCTTATTTATTAGGTGACATTGCACTTCTTGAATCTTTTATCACAAAAGTGCATAGTTTTAAATGTTTCATACTGAGTATCCGCGCTGTTTGGTTTCGTTGAAAGCAGCGTTACTCGATAAAAACCGGATATTAGGAATTTGTTCAAAATACGTGAAAATTATGCACAGCTGTTTTTGTATGTTATTGAGAACTCTGAAGCAGTAAATATACTAACCAAGTACGTTATTTGTATTTTGTAAAATATTCGAGAGATTTTGAAGCTTGTCCAAATTTGAATTACGAATAATACTTGTATACCCGAATTTTGGTGAGTTTTAAAGCTTTCAGCTAAGTGGTCGTGAATCCAGGAAAGAAGTGAACGAAATCGAGGATTTCACTAGTAGCAGCTACACCAGGAGTTTACATTCGATGTCTCCATTCATAACGACGTCAACAATTATGTGTTTTTGCACGCATGCAAATGCAAAAAACGCATATTGAGTTTGTTCGTGTGTCTTTGTGTATGTGTGTTTATGTTTGTGTTTGTGTGTGTATGTATATGTGCTCGCGCTTGTCCGAGTATTTCAACTCGGCAACCAAGTAAGCTCTCGCGCTAAAATTTTATCTGCGAGCTCCCCAGCTAAGTGCCAGCTAAGTGCCATCTCAGGACTGCGATACCCCCAACCATTAAGCACGTCTAAGTGCGGCGTACGACTACGTGAAAATTTTGGTGGGGAAATCGTTAATTCGGGAACCAGGAGAGCTAAAAGGCTAAAATTTTAAGGGGATTTTCCCAGCCTACGTACAACTTGAACATTTCTATTTCAACCCCAGGCATGTGTGGCTGTCACATGCGGCCCCACAAAAATTTTTGGCGAGAGAATCGCTAACTCGGGAACCAGAAAAGTTGGGAAGATGAAATTTTAAAGAAATATTCCTTACAAGTACCACGCAGTAGCGCAATTAACTTCCTGAAATTCGAGAACCAGTATGCTACAAATTCTAGCTACTGGGATTCCAAGCGGTCCCACTATAGCACGAAATACTGCAAGTACGCATAATTGCACGGAGCCGCCTGGTGCGATTCACCAGTGATTTACAAACAGTACTAGGATCATTCGGACAGTTGATATATTTCATACGACAGGCGCAGCTATGCCAAGCCCCTCGAACCTGAGCTGCATAGTTCTAATTAGATCCACCGTCTGTTTGATGTATATGGGTCATCTTTTCAAAGGGTATGCCCTCATACCAGATGGTAATTGATTAATTAACAATTCAAATTTGTCAATTGCTCAGGCCAGCTGCATACCGATAATCAGTAGCAATGTATAATGGATGAATAGGAGTGATGGTTAGTGTAGACTTTTGCCAGAATAAGTGAAGACTATTGCAGATGCAGCTCCAATCCCTATCCTAAATAAACCTCAATTCGGCAACTTAAAAATGCGGTGTGTGTCACAGCATTTCTATGCAGATAGATGTTTGTGTTGCGTGTTTGCGTTTGTTCACGTGTGATGTGCATGCGTGTATGTTTTTGGACGAGTCTTCATTTGTATGTTTTTTTTGTGTCCGCGTGTGTGGATGTTGTTTGCTTTGCGTGCATGTTTGTCTAGGTGTTTGTGCGTGTA